TCAGAAGCATCCTATGGTCAATTCTGTACCTGACTTAGACCTCGTCTCTCAGAGAGGGGCCCAGATCGAGCACGCACTACCCTAAGCCCTGCAGCCACCTTCCTGTCTTAAAGATGCAAGAAGGCTGAACGCGGTGGTTCACGCTTGTAATCCCAGCACTCGGGGAGGCCAAAGCGGGAAGATCACCTGAGGTCAGGAGTTTGAGACCAGGCTGGCCAACATGGAGAAACCCTGTCTCTACTAAAACTACAAAAACTAGCCAGGCATAGTGGTGGGCACCTGTAGTCCGAGGTACTCAGAAGGCTGAGATGGGACAATTGCTTGAACCTAGAAGGCGGAGATTGCAGTGAGCAGAGATCATGCCATTGCCCTCCAGCCTGGGCAACAAGAACAAAACTCCGTCTCAAAACAAAACAAAAACTTAGGTCAGGTGCGGTGGCTCACGCCTGTAATCCCAGTTCTTTGGGAGGCCCAGGTGTGTGGATCACCTGAGATATGGAGTTGGAGACCAGCCTGGCCAACATGGTGAAATCCATCTCTACTAAATACAAAGAGTTAGCTGGTCGTGGTGGTGGCGGGTGCCTGCAATCCCAGCTACTTGGGAGGCTGTGGCAGGAGAAATGCCTGAACCCCGGAAGCAGAGGTCACAGTGAGCTGGGATTGTGCCACTCCGCCTCAAAAATAAAAAAATAAAAAATTTAAGTTACAAAAAAAATTGTAAATAGAGGCTGGGAGAAGGGATGACCCCTGCCCAGGGAGACCATGCCCTGACCACTGCTGTCAGCTGTGATTGCAGGGACCACTCCATCGCTTGCCCAAGTCACCAGATCCTCCTGAGTCTCCAGCCCAGCCTGCCCACCGAGGCCCCAGAGCTGGGGAAGGGTGCACACCATCTCAGATTCCTCGACTCAAAGACCGTCTCCTCATCGCTGTCCAGCGAGGCCATCTCGGTGGGGTCCTCGGTGTTGGCCAGGAGTCCATATCGCCTCCGCTGAGGCTTCTTCAACCTGGAAGTAGGTCCAGGCATTGTCAATGGTCCCTCCCTGCCAATCCTGCCTCCTCCTTCCCTCAGGACCCTCATTGCCATCCTCTACCGGATCCCCCAGTCCTGCTGCAGACCTCCCTGGTTTTGCTGTGCCTGTTTCTTTCACGTCCTAATCGCCAAGTGATTACCACTCTCTCCCAAGGCGGTGACAGTCAGAAAACACGTGCCCTAGCAGGCCCTCCCATCTCCCCTGTGCCAGGACCCCAGAAGAGGCACGCTGATGTCACTCCCGTTGCACCGATGAAAAGACTGAGGCTCACACAGGGGTGAGGTTTCGCCAAAGACAACAGAATGGAAGGCTGTCTCAGGGCGAAGCCACTGGTGGCCCCAGCAGCCAGGGAGGCAGGGAGGGTGCAGGGCACAGGCGGGGGAGAGCGCCCAGCAGGTGCTTCCACAGGAAGGGGTGTGGAGCACCGAGGAGGCTCTGCACAGGGCCCCTAAAAAGCAGCATAGCCAGGCACAGTGGCTCACATCTATAATGCCAGCACTTTGGGAGGCCGAGAAAGAAAGATCACTTAAGCCCAGGAGTTCAGACCAGCGAGGGCAAGATGGCGAAACCGCATTGCTACAAAAAAACATAAAAAATGATAAGCAGCTTGACTTTGCCAAAGTGGTGATGGGGAGGGATAAGGTCCTCGCTGTGTCGCTCCCACCCGGAAGCAGCAGCCACACTGGGTAGTCAGAAGCCCAGAGAAAACTGGGCCCACAGGCCAGGGAAGCCGGGGTGGTCTGACCAGGCAGACGCCCCTCCTGTCCAGAGGCTGCCTACAGCTGGAACCCGCGAGGGTCTGGGGACGCAGCCGCACCTCCTGGGCTGTGGGAGCACCCAAGGCGGGCACGTGGCCGACGCTGGCGAAGGCCCAGCTTCAGCGGGTGGAGGCACAAAGGAAAAGAATCGGGACTCCACGGAAGGGTCGCGGCTGCAAGCGGGAAGATGAGAGCGAGGACCGGCATCCGGCGACAAGGAGCCAAGGAGGATCCCTCGCCCCGCCAGGGCCTGACCCCTGCCCGGCACGCTCCGGCTTCCGTGGCTCCATATGGGAAACGGGCAGCGTCACCCCCGAATTAAGAGGCGGCGACGCTGCGCACCCCGACGCCCGGGCGCAGGCCGGAGAGCGGGCGAGTCACGTGGCCCTGCCCCGCCTACACCACGTGACGATCCCCGCACAGCCCCGCCCACGCCCACTCCGACCGGGAGGGAGGGAGAGAGGGGGGAACCCCGCGGCCCGGCACGTGACGCACGAGGCGCGCGCTAATTGGCCACGGCTGGGAGACGGTGCCCGTGTGCGCCTGACGCACCTGAACGCCCGGATGAGGAAGTAGAGCACGGCCAGGCCGCAAAAGCCCAGGATCACGTAGAAAGAGCGCTTCACCGCCGAGCCCGGCGACACCGGCGGACCCGCGTGCGTGCTGTTATGCGGAGCGCCCGGCTGGCTCCCGTTCGTCACGACTAGCGGCGGCGACGTGACCTGCGCGGGGCGCGGCGGCGAGGCCTCTTTGGCACCGCACGACAGCGCCGCCAGCAGCAGCGCCAGCGGGAGGAGCAGCAGCGGCGGCGGCGGCGGCAGCACGCGCGGCCCCATGGCCCGGCGGAAGCGGTGGCGGCGCCCCGCCCCTATGCACGGCTGTCAGTCAGACGCGCGGTGATGATGCTGGCCAATGGGGCGCGGGGGCGGAGCCTGACGCCCGGCCCCTCCTCCGCCTGGTGAGCCCTCGCGCTACCCACAGTGCCCCGCGCGCCCGCCGCTGAACCTGTTTCGTTGTCCGGCTCCGGGAGCCAGTGCGGAGGCCCGGAGCCCGCCCGTGGGAGCCCCGCCCGTGGGAGCCCCGCCCGTGGGAGCCCTGGCAAGGCGCCGCAGGCAGAGTCCAGGATTACCAGCCCGGCGTGCGGGCGCGTGGCTTCCGAGGAAGTCGGGCTGGTAGCGGGGGAACGGGGCGGACGCCGACCTCAGGACCTCGGGCCGCTCATTCCCACCCGCCTCGGGGCGGCCCCCGCCGCTCCTGCCCCCGCCTCACGGACAGTGAGGACGCCTCGGCTGTGTCCGGGGCCCAGGAAGGAGGCGGCCCGTCCCCAGCCTGCTGCAGGGAACCGGGGGCTCGGCCCAAGACGGGGTCTGACAGCGCCTGCGCGGCCCCCGCGCCCCCGAAGCCGACTGCGCCTCAGGTCCCGCGGGACCGACGTCTCCGCGCTGCGAACCCCTCAGTGGCGAGCCCTGCGGTCACTGCGCGCCAGTGACCCGTGCGGTCTTCCCCGTCGGGTGCTGTTAGTGCGCTGAACGGGGTCCGCAGGCTTGTCTCCCGGTGGCCCCACTGTGCCGACAGCCCCCCAAACCACAGACTCGGCTTTTTGGGTGCACACGTGGCCCTTTATTCGAATCCGACTTTCACAGGGCTCCACATCGTTGTGGGCAAGGACTGGCCGCCCCGCAAGCCGCCAGCGCACCGCAGCCCGTCCTCCAGGAGAGACTTGAGGCCCTGAGCCCGCACCTCGCTCGGGAAGCGCCTCCTGGAGGGAGGAGGGAGGAGATAGGGAGGCGCGGGCTCCAGGCGCTCCGGGAGGCGCTGCCCGGCACCCCACACACACCGAAAGGCGCCCGCCGCGGGGCCACAGGTGCAGGAAAGCAGGACTCACTGGAACGCCCAGGTTCCGCCCAGGACAGGGCTCAGCGCCACATGCCACTCTTCCCGAAAGCACTTACAGGGGACAAGCCTCCGGGGCAAGCGGCTGCCTCCAGCTCTTGTTGCAGGTGAAGTCCCTCCTGGGACAGTGACCCCAGAGGTCATCGCTGCTCTCAGGCCACCCTTCCCCGAGTCCTGGCCGGGCCCCTTCAACCTGCCAAAGCAAAGCAGCGTTACTCCCAGCGTCCTCCACGGGGCTCACAGCTGCCCCTCCCGGCCTCCCCGGAAACAGCCACAGCCCCTAGGAAGGTCTCAGGCTAGTCACGGGGCTGTGACCTCAGGCTCCGTCACAGGCCAGCGTGCCCAGGGCGGGTCTGCGCCTTGGGGGCGCAGCCAGAGCCAGCTACCCGCATGGGATGGAGCTACGTGGGCCAATGTGGGCTCTAGAAAAAAACTAATGGCGGCAACATACATCAGAGAAAGCTAGTTAAGAGTGTGACTTAAGAGGTCTGGAAAAGACAATTGATGAGCAAAAAATCCAAAAGGCGGGGGCATTCACTGGTCTCCAATCCTGCTTAAGGGACCTTATCTAAGAGCCAGGCATGACTGGGCCCAGCCTGCACCTGGCTGCACGTGGGGAGCGTAATGGCCAGGCCTGACTTTAGTTCCAGCTTAATTGAAGAAAAAAAAAGTTGAAAAATAAGGAAAAACAAAAAACAGTCATAGGAACATTCCCCGGGCACATGACTTTCAATGAGCTCTCGACAAGAGGGATGTGGGCACGAGCGGAAGGAGTTACCTCGAATTACAGGGCTATTTCCACATATGAGCTAGCCAAGGGAGCAGCTTGCGTCTCAGAGGGTTCTGTTGGGCGCACAACACTTCTGTCCTCCGAGGGCTGCAGCTTCCATAGGCTAGCAGAGAACGCTCAGAACTCGTGAAGCAACAGCAGAACTAGCTAACCGGCTGGCCGTCTGAGGTCGCCCTGGGATGCCACGTGCCTCCGCTCTCTGGCCTGCTTCTAGACTGAGGCAGTCCAGGTCAGCGTCGGGTGCACGTCCACTGTCCCTGCTAAGCTGCCCGCACAGTCCAGCCCTCTGGCCACCACTGCCAGAAGCCTCCCGGGGCTGCCCTGAGGCCTGAACTGCCCGCTCCCGTCCCCCGCCTGGCTCCCCTACCCTGACCAGCGCCAATCTGCTGGGCCTCCCTTTCTAGCTCTCTCTGCAGGCCCCAGGGAAGGCTTGCAGACCTGCTGCTTCTCCGCCTTCTCTCTGCTCAGGTCTGGCTGCAGGAGCCTGCAGCAGGGAGTGTGTGGTGCAATGCAAGGGAATTGTCAGAGCAAGGTTCATTTCACACGGTCTTTTAATCGGCTTCGTAAAGCCAAAGAAAACTGCATACAAGAATTCCTCAGCCACTGCAAATACAACATCGATGGAGTATGCGTACGTCTTCCAGTAAAAAAGGACAATATAAATAAACATCTTCAAGAACCTCTCAGGGACGTCTGCACGTCTACTGTGGGGCGCACAGCACAGATGGGCGCAGGGGCCAGGGCTCCAGGGCAGTTGCTGCCACACCCGCCGGGGTCCTACCACACTACACTCAGAAACGTCACATGGAGTTGGAAAAAGCCACAGCTTGCTCAGCTTCCGACAAAGAGCGGATTCACAGTCCGTTCGATCTCAGAGGAGTGAGTGGGGCACCCACTTCATGGGGCCAACCCCACCAAAAGAAAAAAAGGCAACACAACCAAAAACTAAAAAACCAAAAACCCACACAACCCCCGATTTTTTTGAAAACTCATGGCTCGTGGTCAAAAAAGTAAATCTGAAGTGCTTTTCAAAATGTTTTGAAAACCCTTAAAAACAGCACTTCCTTAAAAAGAAAAGTCTAGTAACGAGGCCATCCTGGCGTCAGAAGCGGTCAGGCTGGGTTTGACAAGATCAGAACCGAAATGACTACGAAAGTGGGAATACAAGGAGGTGCGTTTACTACACGTATTAACGTTCAGCGAAGCTCCCACAATCTTTAAACACACAGCCATTGGAAGGACGATCTTGAGCAGGAAGGGTTTTTACTCGTTGTGTGTAGCTGAGGACAAGAAGCAGGCACAGTGTAAAGGCACCGAAGCAACGAGAGGCAGCTTCACCCCAGAGGCCAGACCAGGGCGCGGCCTGCGACCGGGGAGCAACCACCCCCCACAGCCGAGGGAGGCTGGCCTGCAGCCACACATGCACCTATGCTGACTGCCCAGCGGGCCCTCGCTCTCCCTTGCCTTTTTGGTCAGTCTCATTTGGCTTTTGTGTCCTGTGATAGAAATGGCTCTGAGAGGACAGACGTGCCTCTTACAGGCAAGCGCAGTGACAAGATCTGAGTGTCCAGCCTAAAGTGCTTGGAGAAGGTGCCAAGGTGAACCGAGCTCCCACCGCAGGCCACAGCAGCGTGGCACCCTCGGAGCGTGACTTACCGTAACTGTCGTAACTGTCTCTATAGGACCCGCCCGAGCTCCGGTCACTGTAGCCACCACTCTGACTCCGGCTGCAGGATAGACAGACATGAGTACCGGAGGATACCAGTCTACTTTTGCTCTGCCACAGCAGGCTGAGCCGTCAGCCCCCATGCCAGCTGTCCCTTCTGGGGACGCAAGGACCCCAGCAGGGTAGAGTCTCAGAAATCGTCCAAAACCTGCACCAGCCATGCCCCCCTGGCCTTCCCGCTTCTGCCACTGTCTTCAGCAGTTTCTTCTCCTCTTGGCCTGGGCCCCCTCCCGCCTCTGCTCCTTGGCCAGCCAGCCTCATCTCAGCTCCCCCAGGGACCTGGGACTGAAGCTGGCCATCCCACCATCACCCCTGTGCCCGGGTTGGTCTTCACCCCTCACCTGCTATAGTAGTCTCTGGAGCCACCGTAGCCCCCACTCCTGGACTCGAACCGGTTCCCCCCATAGCCTCGGTCCCCTCCTCCTGCATACAGGAAGAAGTGAGTACCAGCTCCCACCAGCAGTGCCTCACAGCATCCCCAAAGGGCCAACTCACGGCACTCACCTCTAGAGAACCCACGGCCCCGTCCTCGGCCCCCACGGAAGAAGCCCCGGCCCCCGGCAGAGCCACCACGGTACCCACGGGATCGGTTGTCTGACGACTTGCCTGCCTGGTCTACTCGGATCTGTCGCCCATCTACAGACTGGAGACCAGCGGATGGCACAGGTTAGTGGGTGGGTGCCCCATCCTCAGGATGGGGCTCCCGCTCAACACCCTGATCCTCACCTTCCCGTTCATGGCCATCATGGCATCCTTGGCGTCGTCAATGTTCTCAAAGGTGACAAACCCAAATCCCCGAGATCTCTGGGTCTCCCTGTCTTTCACAACCACCACTGTGCAGGGGAGAGAGGTCTGCAGTCAGCACCCAGCTGTACCTACAGTCAGGAGGAGCACAAGCCAGCCCCACCCGGGCCGCCGGCCCAGCACCAGCCTCACCTTCAGAGATCTGTCCGTATTTTGAGAAGACCTGCTCCAGCGACTGCTCATTGGTGTCAAAACTCAGCCCTCCAACAAAAAGCTTGCCTTCGTCTGATGCCATGGCGGCCTGTGGCAGACACCAATGAAATCCTCAACAGGGGTCATCTCTCACCACCTCTCCCCGCTTCCTATTTTATGTAAATGACATGTGTTTTTTAGGGGAAATATTAGAAAATCAGGTTATTGTTTTTCATTGTCGGAAACTCGTACCTAGGACTTAAGCTGTCACCCAGGCTGGAGTGCAGTGGTGCAATCATGGGTCACTGCAGCCTCCACCTCCTAGTCTAAGCAATTCTCCTACCTCAGTCTCCCAAGAAACTGGGACTATAGATGTGCACCACCACGCCTGGCTAATTTTTTCTTTTTAATTTGTTTTAGTAGAGATGGGGTCTCGCTCTGTTGCCCAGGCTGGTCTGAAACTCCTGGGCTCGGCTGGGTGCAGTGGCTCACACCTGTAATCCCAGCACTTTGGGAGGCCGAGACGGGCCGATCACCTGAGGTCGGGAGTTCGAGACCAGCCTGACCAACATGAAGAAACCCCATCTCCACTAAAAACACAAAGTAAGCCAGACACGGTGGTGCATGCCTGTAATCCCAGCTACTCGGGAGGCTGAGGCAGGAGAATCACTTGAATCCGGGAGGCGGAGGTTGCGGTAAGCCAGGATCACGCCATTGCACTCCAGCCTGAGCAACAAGACTGGGTGGAACTCTTGTCTCAAAAAAAAAAAAAAAAAAAAAAAAACTCACTCCTGGGCTCAAGCAATCCTCCCACCTTGGCCACCCAGAGTTTTGGGATTACAGGTGTAACCCACCGCACTCAGCTACCTAAGACTTAATTCAAACCGATTTACCACACTGAATACAGTCCGCTTCTCAGCTCCCTCCACCCCCCAGACTAAAAGCAGGCCGCACCCATGTCCACGGTCGTCCCCATGGGACAGGGCCTCCGGTGTCTCCCCCTCTAGCCCCGAATCTTCCAGTCGTGCCGTGGGCAGGACTGCACCCTCAGCTTCTCTCCCCTTTACGAACTGGTGCCAACTCCAACCCTAACCAGTTGACTTCTACTTGTTGCTGGACCAGAACGTGCTTCTGTTCACTGTAAAATTCCCCGAGACTGGGGGGGGGCTGGCTGTCAGGGAGGCCGCCCCGTGCTGGGGGGCACCTCGGGGCAGGCACTAACTTTTACAGACAGGACCTCTGCCGGGAATCGGGAAGCGATGGCCCCGGAAATGATGAGGCAGGATTTCCAGACAGGAGAAATGGCATTCAGGAGAACTGGCTATTTAAGGGCGCAGTCAGTGCTGACACAGACAAAGCATTCATTGGCTGGGAATGGCCACCACCCAGTGGCGCTGATAACTAGACTTGGAAGTCTGGCACTGGGGGCTGTGCCAACTTGGACCAAAGTTTGGGCGCAAAGCACGACGTGGCAGACGAGGAATCACACTGGAACGGGCCATGCCTACCCAGGATTTGCGAGGCCGTCCTTTCCCTCATGCAATCACAATGGGAAAAGGAGAAAAATGAGGCTCAGAAAACAAAAGCTTTGGTTTATGGATACCTCCAGCCCCATGGCAGGGAAACCGGCCCTGGAGACCGGGCGCGCCACGTGGCCCCGCCCCCGCCGCGTGCGCATGCGCCCCGTGCGCGCCCTGCGCCACTCCATCCGGGCACTCGGTGCTCCCGCCATTTCGCTGGGCACAGCCTCGAGCTGGCGGCCGCCATTTTGCGGCGGCAAGCCGGTCGCTGGCGGCCCGGGCCGGCGGGGAGAGGCCCTCTGGCCGCTACTCGGCCCAATCTCCCGCTGCCCCTCGCCGCCGGCGGGGCGGACTCCACCCCGGGCCCGCCCCGGCACCGCCCCCTCCCAGGGGCGTGCCGCTGCGGCCCCGCCTCGCCTGGCCGCCGCAGGCCGCCCGCCGCCCCGAGTTCCTCGGAGCCGGTGCCGCCAGGGCCCTCACCACTGAGTCGGGTAGGTCCCTGACGCAAGCGGGAAGACAGCACACCACAACGACCCGAGCCTCCTAACGCGCGAGTGAGGGGGGGCGCCCCGGCGCCCGGCATTATATACACCGCCGCCGGGCCCCGCCCCCTGCACCTCCCGGACCAATCAGAGGCCGCTCCTGCGTCTCATATTCATGAGCTGGGGGCCGGGTCTATCTCGGCTCCGCCTCCTCCCGCGCGCTGGTGTCGGGCTAGACGATTGGCCGGGACGTTTCCAGTCCGCAGTCCCCTGCCCGCGCTCGGGGGGGCGTGGCCAGCGCGCGGCGGGGCGGGGCTGACCCAGTTCCGCGTGCCCTCTCCCTGGCCCGCGGCGGGCAACAAATGGGCCTCTAGCCCCGGTTCCGAGGCCTCCGGCCTCATGGGGACCTCTGGGTGTCACTAGGACCCCGACTTTGCCTGTGCTCCAGCAGTCCCGACATAACCTAGCCCAGATCCCCTACCCAACCAAGCCCCGGCTGTCAGACATCCCAACTTCATCTGAACCCCGATACCTGTCGTGATATTCTTGCCACTACAACCGACGTCCCAGTTTTCCCAGCACCCCAGCACTCCATTCCTGCCATCAACCCCATGCCCACCCAAACCCCAACAAAGACAACCCCATTCATGCGAACCCCAACATTCGCAATCCCAGTTGTTCCTACTTCGCCACACTTTGGTGCACCCCAACTTTACGCAATCCAGTTTGCCTACAAACTCCAACCCGCACCTAAGCCTAACTCCCACTGGAACCGCGACTTCACGGCTGGGTGCATCGCCCACACCCCCACACTCGCCTGGCCAGATAGTGTTGTGCGTCCCTGCTGTCGGGTGCAGGCGAACACCCCGAGTCCCCACTGCACCCCAGCACTCAGCCCGGCCCTCGGCCTCCCCTCCCACCGTGCTGCACACCCAATGCGCACTCGCTCCCCACGCCGGGCCGGGCCCACTCTGCTCCTCTACCCAGGCCTTTTCTCTCCTTCCACAGACCTCCCCTACTGAGCCTGGCTGACAGAGGGGAGTCTCAAAGCCTCCGCCATCTGGAGAACCAGCTATGCAAGGACCCTCACTCCCTACTCTTCGTTGGCCCCAAAGCCTCTGGGGAGCCCTCTATGGCCACCACTTGCTCCTCACCCAGGCCTCATCTCATGCTGCCCCCTCCCCCGGCCCTGGTGGAAGAAACCAGCGTGGACCCCTGCCTCTCTGCCCCAGAAAGTCTCAGGAGGGCTGACCCTCTGCTCACAAGCTGGGGGGAGTTGGGGTACAGAGACCCCCGTTTTGCGGCTCACCTCAGGGAAATCCCGGTCCCACTCCTGGCCTCAGACTCACTCCCACCCTCAAGTGGATCGAAGTGGGGGTAGCCAAGGGCGCTGTCTCCAGTGACAAGGTCTCTGGGACCCCTCATGGGCTCAAGACCCCTCCCCCCGACAGCAGCTGTGTGACTCATCACCACCCGCTTTGCACCTCGGCCCCCCCCACTACAGCCGCCCCGCTCCCCGTCAGCAGCAGCCGGCTGCTGCGTCAGCCACTCACGCAGGGTGGTTATTAAAGGAGCGGGGAGAGACATCAGCACCGAGCTCCCCTACGCCCGCCGTCCGTGCGGGAGGGGCCCCCCACCCACTGGAGCCCCAGACGCGGGCTAGGCATGCCCAGCCAGGGAGCAATTCAGGCCCATTCTTTCTGATCTGCCCCCCAGCCCCCAGCCCCAGCAGTCAGGGCGGGGACGTTCCCTGGCCCTAGAGCAGCCCTTGTAGGGGGGGCGTTGGAGGGGGTCCCCGGTAGCCACAGCGGCCCCTTCATAATTGCATAATTCTTGCCGCCCCCCCGCAACCCATCGCTCCCTGGTTCTGTGAGCCTCTGTCTTTTCCTGGTTTTGTAAAGCGCCGTGTTCATTCATTCATTCATTCATTCTGCCAGCGCCTAGTTATTAAGCGCTTACTACGAGCCGGTTCCTGGGTGCGGGCTCCGTGAGTGCCCGCAGCCGTCCTGGGTTCCCAGGGTGGCGTCGACGCGCACCTGCGCACACCTGCCGCTTTACATCTGCGCCGAGCACTGCGCACCGGCTTCCAGGTGTGGGACCGGTGTCCGTACCTGTGCCTCTGGGGTCACCTGCGTCTGCGAGCACCTGTGACTCCCAGGTGTCTCACCGCCACCCTGTGTCCCCATCGAGGGTCTCAGGAGGCTGGGACCCCGTCATCCACCCCTGCTGGCAGCTCAGCACGCGAGACCCGACTGGGGCGCGCTGCCCGTTGCAGACACGAGGGGGCGCTACGGCCTCGCTCCGTCCGCGGCGTTTGGGTCGAGCGCCCGGACTCCTGGTGCCCCTCCGCGCAGACGCCTCGCGTGGGAGAGGGAGCCCCGCCGCCCAGCCCTGCGCGGCCACAGTGCACAGTCCTCGAGAGGCCCAATCTCGGGGGCGAGGACGCAGCCTGCGTGTCGACCCCGAACCACCCGCCGCCCCCGCGCCTCGGCTCCAGCGGAGGGGCTCAAAATAGCCGCGCCGGGCGGGGGCGAGGCTGCTATTCCGGGCCCGACGCGCGGGGCTCGTCCGTGCCCGGCGAGGCGCGGGGATCAGCCAGAGTCCCCGAAACTGCTCCCCGCGTGTCTCTCTTGGGCCCCGTGGGCCCATTCACAAATGCCGCCCACTTTCCAGCCTGCCGTCTCGGAGGGGGCGCGCGCCTCCTGCACCCAGATACTCCTCCCGGGCCCCCGCCCCTGCATGGCGTCGCCATGGAGACGGGGGCGGGGCCCCTCGCTCCCGCACCGACCGCTCCTCCCTCCCCGCGGGGCCCCGCCCGCCGGACGCCCGGTCCTCCCCCGACCCCGACTAATGACCGGGCGGGAGGCGGTAGAAAGCGTCTAGGCCTGGGACGGGCGTGGTCGGGGATGAAAGGCGCGTGGGGGGTACCCCGGGGCCGCATAATTACCGCCCCCTCCTAGGCAGGCGGGGGCCAGGACCGTGCACCTGGTGGCTGCCCCGCGGGGGCGCGGAAATAGGACCGTCCTGGCAGAGGATGCAGCAGGCCCAGCTGGCCCCAGTACGCGGGGCCCAGAGCCAGGGTGGGGGATGCAAAGACCGGGCGTGCGGGTTGCCAGGTGTGGCGCACATGTGTGCCCGTGGGCAGAGTACAGAGACACAAGCTTGTGTAGACACGAATGTGTAGCTGTGTGCGAGTGCATACGATGTGGGGTGTGCAGGGACCCCAGGCTGGCCTGTGTCGGAGCGCAGGGCATATAGGGGTGTGCACACAGTCTTGGAGGTGTGTGCACGGAGCTCCAGGCACCTGCATGTGTGCAGGTACGCAGGAACCCATCTGCGTGGCTCTGTGTGTGCAACACAAAGAGGTGGGCGCTTATCCGGATATGGATGTGGGGGCAGCCAGGGACAGGGCTGCGTGTGCGTGACTCGGGTGTGCCGGGACCCACAGAGCATATGTGTCCATGCCTGGTGCTGTGACTCATGTCCCTGGGGTAGGCACGCGTGCTGTGTGTCAGCGGGAGCGGCGCCTCCCAGGGCGGCCCAGAGTTCAGAAGCCCAGAGGAGGAAGGGTTAAACCTGCCCCTCCCCTCAGCCCCTACCTGAGTCCGGGGGTGGGATCCCAGGTCCCCTGGGAGGCCCCGGCCCCCCACCCCTGCCCCGGGCCTGAGATTCAGGGGCTGCTATACAAGAAAGCCTGTCTGAGCTGCTCTGCAGCCTCAGTTTCCCTCCTGTTCCTCAGATGCGGTCGCAGGGTGGATCGGCTTCCCTTCCCTGTGACTCACCCCCTCCCCACAGGCCTGAGTCACAGCTCAGGAATGTGGAGGCTGGGAGGCCCTGTCCACTCCTGCCCCAGCCAGGCCATCCCAGCAGCCCAAAGGCCAGGCCTGGGCCACAGATGGACATCCCTGGCACACACACCCCGTCACAGGCCACACACAGGTGCACACCCACACCCCTGCTTCACACCCACTGGACACAAAGTGATACGCCATGCACTGGGCATCCGGAGACCCTGCCGGCCACAGGCACACACAGTAGACAGGCTGAGGATGGGTAAGGCCCCGACCTGCCCTGGGGTCACTCACACACCTGGTCACTCTTTCAGTACACGGGATGCTGCAGAGTCATCGGTGACCCCTTCTGCTGGGGCCCAGACCAGCCAGCACGTGGCAGACCTGCAGTGATGTACGCCCATGCATGTCTGTGACATGCAGATCAGGTGTCTGTGAAAGGTCCAAGACTCTGCATGGCCCACAGACACCCTAAAGCTGACCGAGGTCTAGGCTCACCTGCGTGGAGGCTGGGGATGCAGCCGCCTGCTTTCTGAAACTGGGAAAAGGTCCGGGGACTCTGGAGTCCCCACTGCTTAGCAACAGATGCTGCATCCTGGGGTAGGAGGAGGGATCCCCACCTGGGCCCAGCTCCCTTTCATGGGACTACAGATCCGGTGCTTAACACAGGCCAAAGAGTCGGGATTTCCTGCAAAGACAACCAGGCTCAGAGAGGCCCTGCCTGGGGCAGGCAACAGTGGAGTGGGATGAGTGGAGAGTGTCCCCCTACTCGCCCAGGCACTTGCAGGGGCTCAGGACCTATGGAGTGAGGGTGAAGACACCTATGTTCCATCTTGCTGGAGAGGCACCTGGCACCTGCCCGCCCTAGCATGCCTGGAAGGTTCCCACATCCAGGCGGAGAGATGGGCGAGGGGACACCTGTCCAGGCACCCATGGTTGCTCAGGCAGACCCTGGAGGGTCAGGGGCCCAGCTGTGAGGCAGGCAGTGCCCAGGACACTCTCCGCACCTCACTGCTTCATCTGAGAGGTGGGCATGCCGGCAGCACCTCCTGGGGTCAGAGGTGCATGGGGAAGACCTGGTAGGAAGTCGGTCGAGGGCAGTTAGCAGCAAAAGATAGCTCCACGCAGCGACCGGCTCTCCTTGTTGTTCGCCTCCTTGATGTGGCAGTCCACACGGAATCATCCCGTACGCAGGCCGGGAGCGATGGCTCATGCCTGTAATCCCAGCACTTTCGTTTGAGTCCAGGAGTTTGATACCAGCCGGGAC